ATGGTAAGTTTCATGGGTAAAAGTGAAATATTAATAAAAGACTACTCCCCACCCAATCTGCCGTGTATCTAGCAAGTGCTTAGCTAGCGAGAAGTAACAGAAATAACTTTCAAAAACAACAAGTTGCACAGCACGGGGATCCCTGCAAGAGGAGAAACAAAGAGAATCACCCTACAAGTGCTGCAGCTTTACGCCTGGACCATGTGTAGTACGCAGAGTGGAGAAAGGAGCCCAAACGAAGCCGGTGGCTTTCCTGAGTTGAGGAGACAGAGTGGCGAATTTGGGAAGCCAGGGTCTGGAATCTGTGGGGCACAGTACTCGAGAAGAAACCTGCACAGAGAAGAGTGAGCCGGCAAAGCTCTCTCTGCAGAGGGGTCTCTGAATTTTCAGCTGAGTACTGACCAGTATGGATGAGGCAAGGGAAAGAGTCGCAAGAAAGGACTTGGTGAAACCAACTCTGGAGCTCACACAGGGCTGGGAATGTCATGTTCAAATAAGCCATTGTGGAAAAACCTCATAAAGTCCTACCTTTCCCCCCTAAATCTCTGAATTCCTTCTTTTCAGCTCTATTCTTTTCTCCCTCAGTGTGCTGAATAGCAGACATCTGGGAAATTTAGAGGGAGATAGTCAGAAGGCAGCCTCTGGGTACAGGGAAAGAAATGAGAACTAGCTGGCTGCTCCCTCAGCTGGCAAAGTCAGTCCCTATCTGGTAAATCTGGCTCAACAAATGCAGCCGGAAAGCATACTGTCATGTCTCATTCTATGGTAGGCAGACAAACGAAATTTTTTATAAGCATTAAACAGTGTTTAGTAGAGTCAAGGGGACAGAATAAATACTCAGTAAATATGTGATGATTAGCTGGTTAAGATTTCCTGAAATTCTTTTCCCCAACAGATGTTGGGTGGGTGGTGTAATTCCAAGAAGTACTTTAATCCCTAGATCTTAGGTTTTCTATTTTAAAACAAAGGGGAAATGAATGTCTTCTAGCAAGATAGTTAATCTTTCTGTGCCTTAGTTTTCTCATCTAAGATATGAGGATAATTATACCTACCTCACAGGACTACAGTGTGGATTATATGAGTTAATCATGCAAATTTCTTAGACTATTGCCTGATACATAGTAGATACTTATATTAGCTATGAGTATTATTGTTCTAAAAAAGGGTGGACTGAAAGAAGCCAACCACAAAAGAATACACACTCTGTATGACCGCATTTGTATGAAATTCTGGAAAATACAAACTAATCTATAGTGACAAAAGCAGATCAGTGGATACCAGGTGCTGGGGACGAAGGGGGGGTATTAACTGCAAAATGGCATAAAGGAACTTTTGGGGGTGAATGAGGAAAAACTGGTTTCCCTCTCTATAATCATATTCACTCTCAATACTTTACTTCTAACACCAGATGTGTGGGGTTTTTCCTACACAATTCTCTGGCAGACACCAACTGGGTGTCCTATAATTCGATTCAATTCTGACACTATTTACCTGGAGTTAGTGTCCCAGTCCCACCAGACTGCTTCCCACTTCAGATGCCAATCACAAGTACTAGGTTACCTGCAACTTCTGCCCAACCTGGCTATAGATAGGAGACTACCACAACCTTCTCAGGTTTGATCAATTTGGTAGAGTGGCTCACAGAACTCAGGTAAACATGTTTACCAGTTTATGATATAAATAAAGGATATGACAAAGGATACAGATGAAGAAATACATAGGGTGAAGTCTGGAAGGGTTCTGGGCACAGGAGCTCTGTCCCCATGGAGTTGGGGTATGCCACCCTCCTGATACATGGATGTGTTCACCAACCTGGAAGCTCTCTGAACCCGAAAGTTCAGGGATTTTTATGAATGACTTTATCAGAGGCATAACCAATTATTAACTCAATCGCTCCTCATCCTGGAGGTTGGGGAGTGGGGCTGAAAGTTCCAAGCTTCTAATTATGGTTTGGTCTTTATGGAGACCCCATCCAGGAGCCAAGAGTCACCTCACTAGCACAAAAGATGCTCCTATCGCCCGGGAAATTCCATGTGATTAGGAGCTTTGTGTAAGGTGCTGGGGTCAAAGACCAAATATTAGAACAAAAGATTCTCCTAGTATCCCTATTGCTGAGGAAATTATAAGGTGCTCAGACCAGGGACAAAGATCAAATATATATTTCTTATTATATCACAACATCACAGGGGATGATAGAGATGTTTTACGTTTTAAAATTTCACTTATTTATTTTTTGAGGCAGAATCTTGTTCTGTTACCTGGACTAGAGTGCCGTGGTGTGATCAGAGCTCACTGTGACCTCAAACTCCTGGGCTCAAGTGATCCTCCTGCCTTGGCCTACCAAGTAGCTGGGATTACAAGCATGAACAACCGTGCCCCTCTTTGGAAATGTTTTAAATCTTGATTGTGGCGGTGGTTACACAGGTGTATACATTTTTCGAAACAAAAAAGAGAGTATAGTTTATGATATGTAAAGTAGTCTACTTCCAATCCCCCTCTTGGTACGTGAATTCTAGGAAGCTGGTTAAATAAAAAAGGGGGAATTAATGGATGCAAACGTTCTTAAAGTAACTTGATCAACCGCTAGGAAGAGAAAAATATTGCCTCTTGTTAGCATATTTAGTTGCACCACAAAGCTGATTACATTCCCTGACACTTTAGAGAGCTTCTATTTATTCTGCGGGTCGCGGGGGGGCTTAACCTGACCGGGGATTGTTCACTAGCTGAAGCGCAAATTTACCTGCGTTGAACTCGGAATCATCTTCCAGGGTGGTCACAGCTTCTTCCACAGCATCCACCGCGCTCCCGCCCTGCTTGAGGATTTTGTAACCCGCGGTGGCAGCTTTGACGATGCCCTGGCGCACGCGCTCCTTCCGGTCCTTGGAGATATTGCTGGCTCCGCCACCGTGGACCACGACGACGGGATTCATGTCGACGGACCCTGGCTCGGGAAGACGAAAGCGTCATTGCAAACGGGTCTGAGAAAACCGCACGGGCACAATCTCCTCGGGAGACTCCGCGGGGACAAAGTCCAGTTTCTATTTCAGGCGGCATGGTTTACCGTCTTAGGCAAGTTCTTGAGGCCGCGGAGGGGCGGCTGGGTTTGAATGAGGGACGAAAAGCCAGTGCGCCCGGGTCCGCCTCGCCCCGGCCTGGCGGGGGTCTCAGGGGCCCAGAGCCCGCGCCCCCTCACGGGCTGCCTTCGGGCCTCAGTTTCCCTGGAGAAGCCCAGATCCGGCCCTACGCCGGGCCACCGGCCGGGGAGGAGCTGGAGCGGCGCCCGGGGCCAGAGCTCCCGCCCCTCCTCCCAGGCTCTGCGCCGGGCCTCGGTTTCCCCGGGGACGCGTACTGTGCGCCCCCTCCCGCTGAGGGCCTGGGATGGCCTGAGGGCTGGAGCTCGCTGGCGCCCTCCCTGCTTGAACCCCGGCACCGAGGAGGGTGCTTCCCGCCTTCGGTACGGTGTGTATTTCCGATCATTCCGTTCACCATCCCCGCGTCCCGGCCGCCGGCTTACCGAGGACACCGCGAGAGGCGGACGCCGAGGCCTCAGGCTGGCCCGAGCCACCCGGCGGCGCCCGGAGCCGCACGGTCCAGCTCCTCGGCGACAGAGCTCTGGATCCGCGTCAGTAAGCAACCGCTCCGAAGGCAACGGTTCCGCGCCTGCGCGCGAGGGCGGGGCTGCCGCGCCGCGGCGCTACCGTAAATCCCCGACGCCCGCCGGCCGCTCACGCGCCTCGCAGCTCTGGAGTCCAAGCTTCGGGCTGGACACGCGCCGTTCGCCTTCCAGAACCGGGACCACGCTGGAGCTGCTTCCACCCGCGCGAGCCTCCTCGTGGCATGCGGGGACCCTCCCCCTCCCGATGAGTCTGGGAGCAGGGTGGTTGGGTTGGTGGCCAGAAGTGAGAAGCGATGTGTCGCAGTTTTGTAAGTGCAAATGGAAAAGCGACGCTCCACGCACTGAAATCCTTCCTTTGACCAAGATGTTTGGCAGGCTTGGTAATTATTATTTTGAATGCTAATTATTGTTTTGAATTCAAATATCTTCCCCTTAATTGTCTCTCCTCTTAACCTTTTGTAAAGAACAGAATGACAAACTGTAAAAATGTATAGTTGGTCTGGGTGCCCTTAGAGTGTGAAAAACCTCAGCCTAGTCCCTCCCTTTGAGCGTAAGGATCCCAGCTCTAAATTCCGTCGCCTGCAAGAGTCCTTATTTTTTGTTGGCGCTTTTCGTTCTCTCTGCCTCTGAGTGTTCCCTAAAGACTTGACACCCTGGTGTCTGGACCAAACACCTGTGTTTGCCCAGGGTTGCCCTAGGTTCTCGTTTAGTTCTTCCAGTAGTCGAGGGGAATGGAAGGAGTTTACATTTGTACCTGATAAGGCAACTGTAAGATACTGGATAAGTGACAGGACGGAAGGATCCCTTACTCTATTATGTCGAGTACCTTTTTGAATTATGATTTTATTATTTTTTCATAGCCTTTATTTTTTAGAGCAGTTTTAGTTTCACAGAAAAATTATTTTATTTTCATTATTAATTTAAACTGTTTATTGGCTGGGTGAACCAATGTCAAAGATAGACTTTCTCTTTGTCCAACAAATGCCATCTCCCCCCGTCCCCCGCCCATGCACTTAAGATTAAGATACTGACAGCACAGGGACTGAGTCATTCTGAGAAACTGAATGTACAAAGGGACAATGTCCAGGTCTTATACAAAAATTGAACTCTGGACCACAACCTCTGCAGCAGCCAGTCCAGGAAACCAAATCACAACCTCTGCAGCAATCAGCTTTGAGTGGTCAGGACTTGGTCAATAAGTAACAACGTCCTGAATTTTTGTCTTTGTTTCAATTTTAGGACCAACCAGAGAAAGCCAAATCTGTTCCCCTAACCAGCCACATAGCGTGTAGGCTTCCACTTAGCCCCTCTAGCTTCCCCATGCCAACAGCTTCCAAGCAGGGCATACATGAGCCTTCCCTTTTTTCCCTGCTAAAGAGCTTTCCCGCTCTCCTGAGTCTCTGCCAAATGCAAGTCTTGGTGGATGACTCCCTTGCAAAAGCAAGCTCTGAATAAATAGCCTTTGCTTGTTCTCATTTGGGTGGTCTTCATTTGTTTTCACATTCCATAAATATAAGTTTCTGCCTGAGGGAAGGGCTTGTGCAAAAGGGGACCTGGAGGAGGGACTGGCCTTCTTCAATTCTGGAAATCAGAGCATCAGGCCCTACTGTACCAGGGGCTTTTGCCTCCATTACCTGCCCACCACGTACCCCGCTGGGGTAGCCCAGTGGCGTGCAGCTGACAACTTTCCCCCTTTCTCTTCCTCTAAGGAATGCAGTCTGAATGTAAGTGCCTGAGAGTGCTATGGGGCTGACTTTGAATCAGCTCTAATTTGTAAGAAAAGCTTTCATTCTTTATTCTTGACAGTTGCAAATTACGATTTTTTTTTTTTTTTGGAGACAGAGTCTTGCCCTGTTGCCCAGGCTAGAGTGCCATGGCGTCAGCCTAGCTCACAGCAACCTCAAACTCCTGGGCTTAAGCAAGCCTCCTGCCTCAGCCTCCCAAGTAGCTGGGACTACAGGCATGTGCCACCATGCCCAGCTAATTTTTTCTATATATTTTTAGTTGTCCAGATAATTTCTTTGTGTTTTTAGTAGAGACCGGGTCTCACTCTTTTTCAGGCTCGTCTCGAACTCCTGACCTCGAGCAATCCTCCCGCCTCAGCCTCCCAGAGTGCTAGGATTACAGGCGTGAGCCACCGCGCCCGGCTGCAAATTACTTTTGATGCAGCTGAGAAGTGCTGTGCTGCCTGGTGCAGATGTTTTCTTTATACTGGTTCTCAGACTTGTCCACTGAAGAGACCTAACGAGGGAAGAGAGGGAACAGTTGCTCCTCTCCCCCAGGAGAGTGGAGGTGAGGAAATAATAAATATAATAATGATAGCATGACAATAGCAACCCTTTATTAAGCATTTACTATGTATCAGGTGAATGCAAAGGGCTTTACATACATTTTCTCTTTGAATCTCCACAATAACCTTTTCGAGTGGGATCTGTTATTATCTCCAACTTAGAGACATTTGGTGTTCTGTTTCCACTCTGCTAGGTTTGCTCAGGGTGTGAACCAGGAAAGTATGTATGGGGGGGAATGTGGTTAATGGAAAACTTAGATAGTGATCATAAGGCCTGTGAAACAATAGCCACAGAAGTCTGGAGAGTCCAGGGTTGTAAATCTAACTGTGACCACAGATGGTTGTGGTGACATAGGGGTCCCAGAAACTGGTTGTTTGAAAATAATTTATTACAGAGGCCATTCTGGCCCAGTTGCTCACACCCCTGGAGAAACCCTCTATAAAATGCAAGGCTCTCCCCTTTTCCCGAATGGATGCTCTTTTTGGCTTCCACCCATCTGCACCCAGCTGCTCAAATAAACAGTATTTTGCTACACCTGAGGCTTCGTGTGTCTCCCTCTTGGCTCTGGACCTTACACGTTTCCACTGAAATGGTTCTTAATAAGGACACCAGTGTCCTTCCTGTTGTCACATCGAATGAAATTTTCCAGGTTTCATCTTACTTGACATCCCTGTAGCATGTCGCATTGCTGACCCTTCCCTTATCATTATTATTTGTTCCATTCCTTTATTTTTGAAATTCTGTCTTCCTGAATTCTGTGCTCTCTGGCTTTTTCTTCTTCTTATGTGGCTGGTGAGTCTCAATTTTATCCCCAGATTTGTTTTCTGCAGTCTTCAATGAGGACATTCCTTAGAGTTCCGTTTTTGCCCTCTTCTTTATTCTTTCCAGCTTCCCTTTCTGAGCAATTTCATCTCCATCCATGACATCACCTATCCTCCATGTGACAAAGGTCCCACATTTATGTCTCTGACTTTGATCTCTCTCCCGAGCCCCAGAACTCTTTGGATACCTGCACTTGACATGTCTGTGTGGTTGGTCCATTGTCACCTTAAATGCAGTACATCTTAAACTGCCTTTATTATGTCTCCATCATCTGCCCCAGCCTGACTTGTTTCTTCCTGTCCTATCTTTCTTAGTGGATGGCATCCATGGGCTCCTCACCTTGACCTCCACTGGCATTGTCTTAAGACACTGGAATTGTCTTAATTTAACCTTGTACATGGTCTGTTGCAGTATTATTATTATTTTTTGTTTGCTTAGAAAGTGTTTCTATCCCCCTTTTTATGGTTACAGACCCTCAATCCATGTCCATAGGCATGGGCACTTAATCCAGGCATGGCCAACCATGGGGTTCCATTTGTTCGGCAACAGCAATTGGTTCAAGAGGTAGCTGTGTGACCCAAGCAGGCCAGTTATATAACTTCTCTAGAATTGATGTTTGGACATTAGTAGAAAGAAGTTTGGCCTGCTCGAGTTGCTAAATAGGGAAGCTGTCAGTTTGGGGCTGTTGGTGGTCATCTTTCCCACCACGTGGAGAGTTTGTCTGCAGAATGTGAGTAGTAAAGAATTAACTTCTGTGTAGTAAAGAATTAACTTCACCCAAAGAAAGATTTGGCTTCTGCCTTTGACTCCTGGGAGGTGATCTCTAAACCCTTGGAACATCCTGCTTGCTAAGAGTGTCATTGTTTACCTGGGTGCTTTGGGCCATGCCAGATGGTCCAACAATATGATTACAAGAAAAGGGAAATTTGGACACAGACACAGAGGTAGGACACCACGTGACAAAGGAAGCAGAGATCGGGCTGATGCATCTACGAGCCGAGAAGGCCAAGGACTGCTAGCAACGACCAGAAGCTAAGGAGTAGCAAGGAAGGATCTCTCTTAGAGCCGTCAGAGAGGGAATGGCCCCACTGACACCTTGACTTGGACTTCCTCCCTCCAGAACTGTGAGAGAATCAATTTCTGTTGTTTTGAGCTGCCCAGTGTGTGGCACTTTATCACTGCAGCCCTAGGGTACTAGTGAAACCTCCTAGCTCTCATCCGATTGTGCAGCCTCGGATCCAGGTGGGCTCCTTGCCAACACCGAGCCCATCCCTGGGAGATGAGCAGGAGCACCCTGTAACACAGCCTGCACGCAAGGCCCCCCTTTCCATAAATCAGCCACAGGGCGATGCTTGACCCCAGTAGGAAGCTCACACAGCATGAAGCTTTGACTCAGGAGAAGAAATGAGCACAGGGATTACCCAGAGAGAACCATGTCCCTTCCCAAGTACTGCCTTTTCTCAGAGACCACAGAGATCAGGTCCAGAAGGTATCAGCCACCAAAATTATCTTATTTACTTTATGATCACACTGGCTAAAGTAGCCCCACATCTGGCAATCGCAATCGTTATTTATGAAATTTCCTTTAGGTAGTTATGAAGGTTCTCTCCGCAATGGAATATTTTACACAAAGGCATTCTAGAAACATCTTCCTGCTTCTTCTTCATAAAGTGGAATTTCTGTGTCATGGTTCAAGTTGTGGCTTATCTGCAGCCACTTTGAACCAGAGCCTGCATTCCCCTTATCCCCGGGGTGCTTCCTGGGGACCTTGTCTGAAAGCACAAGCCGGGGGACACAGATGAATTCAACGTCAGCCTAAGGCCAACGCCATGGAAAGGAGGCCTGTTTCTGCCAAAAATGTGCCATAAATAACCTTGACGAGGGAAACTTCA